AATGGTGCAGTAACAATATGGCTGCTTACTTACATGTAGATGTACCAAAAGCATATTCAGGATCAAGGAAAAGATGTGCAATACCAAACAAAAATTGCAAGACTTGCCTACATTTTAAGAACCTTTGCATTTCTCTTGTAAATAGAATCAATCTGCTCACCCTATCTCTAATGACAAGAGGATTTTCAGAATAATCATCACCAAGTTCTTCCTTTATTCTCTGCGAGAGCAAAGCTTCATCTTCTTTCACTGAACTCCCTGTGGAGAAACACTAACACAATGTATGTGCACGTACCTATATTCACATCAAATACAACATGTGACAAGATTTCATTGATGTCTAGCCCCTTTACATCAGCTTCATCCTGTGTAAAAATTACCCTCTACTGAATGCAAGGGTTCTCAAAATAAAAACTCTGAAAGTTTGTTAAGATCAAGAACAAACACACTTGACCAAATTTAATAAGTTACAAGAATCTGTTAAAATATCTCATTTAAGCAACAGCTTACAGACAACATCATATTCTAACATACCAAGAGGTAACTTCTCCAAGATTATCTCACATTCCTTCACTTCTTCTTCAGCATTCTGTGTCCGTGATTGAAGAAGTAGCAGATATTCCTGGATGGAGTCTGGAAAGTCTTCCCCTTGAGACTAAAATCAAGAGGGAAACATATGAATCAATACTCAAATGTTTCACTCCCAAGATCTCAGTAGTTCTCTTAACTGTCTGCCATACAATTCTTACAATGTTGGTTTGAAGAATTTGGTATTTGATCAACTAACGCTCTTTTTATTGATACATATTTTTTTCTTTATTCTTTTCTGTTTGATAGTGCATTGATATTACAGGGAGAAATTCTGTCTTGGTCTCTCACAGGAGTTAAAGAGTTATGTTAGCTAATAAACTAATATTTCCCATGTTTTTGAACATCTGATTAGTAATAGATCACAGATAAAGTCATTTTTACATCATCTGCAGTCTATTGTTTAACAGACACTCGGCAGCATAGAATATATTTGTTTTATGTAACAACAAAACAAAAATTTTTCAATGGTGAAGTCATCTATGTGTCTGTCCTCCAAAAAATCAAAGGTAAGAACCAATCTTAGTGCGGGTGTGATTCATCAGCTTATCATATAACACACTCTAGTGAGCAGTTCCAGTTTTTAAGTACCTAACGAACTGAATTCAATTTACAGCGTTAAAAACCTTTTTTCTATTCAAACCCACCTGCATAAGCGACTTAAACTCGCACAATAAGAAACAATATGGTTAGATTAAACTCGTTTATCTTATCATGCATAATTAAGCTCTGCAATAATGAATATGATCCTTATGTTTACCAAAACTTCTATTTCCTTTGCTCGCTGAGCATAACCGTATCTGCTGTGTATTTATTTGCAGTGTACTGGAAAGGCAAAAATCTCGAATATAAATCTAATAATGAAATTACGATCAAGTTAAGTCATTAACCTGTTCAGTTTTGACACAAATTAAAACTGTAAATTACCTCGTCTGTTTCCAAAGTTGATGTCTCATCTTCAACATCTTCGATATGCAAACTGTCATCTTCAAGGGCGTCGAGTTCCCGCTGAATTTCAGCTTCAATGTCTACTTCATCGTCATCTAAGATGCAAGTCATCCTCTCTGAACAAGACACATCATTACTTCGCTCTTTTTTTCTCGTAGAACAATCTTTCGTTCATATCAAAACATCGCCGTAGCTACCATTGCATTTGAGTTACATGACATCCCTTATCCTTCTTCACTATCCCCGCTGAAATCCTCGCTGGCTCCAAATTTTTACTACCAGATCTAACAACGATCGATATTGGTCGGGAGAGGATTGGGAGGGGTAACGTACGGTTGTGGCGCCAAAAAGATTCGTCTCGATAACGTAAAAAAAAATAACAATTGTATTGAAGAAACTACGACCTTCTTCATGTGTAAACTAATTTTTTGTCGTTTTATACCTAGAAAAATAGTGAATCAAGAGTTCCAAAAGCGATTGTTCGTGCGCTTGCCTGTGTGGTACAACGAAGTCCTGTGAAGAACTGTTTCCGGTTGATAACTTTGATGAGACTTTGATGATGTCTTTTCTGTGATTATTAAAACGTCAGTCACTTTCATCAACAGCATTCCTAACGCTCTCCACGATCGACTGCTGCCTTTGATGTCACGCAACACTTTAGCAGCGGGGGAAGAGAGCAAATGAGTGAAGCGTCGCGTGACATGCCATAGAACGGTCTATTAATCTCTTTCTGTTTAACATCTTTCTCTACTATTTAATTTTTTCCTCGCACTGAATAGAATTTAAGAAGGAAGAGAAAACGAATGAATACAAGACGACAAGTCTGGATCCATAGGTTTTATTAAAATACATGCGAGTCGTTCCCGCGAGTTCTTTGTGTAAGTTTATATACGTAGCTAGTGCATGAATGGTTCAAAACGTTTGAGTTGATATTTAGATTCTTTTAGAAGGTATTTAGTTCTTCACCATTACTTGTCCTAAAACAGAAAAAATTCTATATTATATCGACATCATAACTGATGCCGAGCATTTCCGATGCCAGCTGAATTGAACTTGGATTTGTATCAGATGCAGAGACGAGAATTTGATTTTCTCGCAGCAACTTTCGTTACCGATGTTTAAATGTAACTCATACAAGGTTTGTAAATGGCTATCGCAAATAAATTGTAGCGTTGCAGGAAGATCCACAGGACTCCTTTCTGATCAAGAAAAGGTTGTGTGATGCTCTCTTGGCTGACACAAGCCAAATTTCGCCTTTGGTTCCATAATTCAGTTTCTCTCTTTCTCCTTATTTTTTTTATTTATTTATTTTTTTTCACTTTTTTCCAGTCGTTTTTTTTTTATCACTGCACGATGCTAACTCAATTTTAAATTGTTGAGAATAACTTAAAAATGTAAGTGTTACAGTTTTTTGAATTCATTATTTAGGATTTCTCCCCTTTCTTTTTTCTCTTGTGTGTACGCCAGGTTCTTTGTATTACCTCCGCCGCATTGAAAAATTTCCGAATTTCCATTCTTCTCTTTTTCTCTTCCCGACTTTTGAGAAGAATCACAGAGGTGAAATTTGGTTCTTCTCCAGCCTTGTTACCTGTTGCTTGGCCTGATCCCACTTGGTGAAAATTCTCCAAATTTGTTAATTTATCTTCTTCGTCGTTGTGGTCAGAGTGATCGAGTGCGACCGAAACTCTTTCGGGAACCGTTTCGTCTGGAGGTAATGTAATGACCCGATCCTTCTCACTGAGATTTGCAACGTGTCTGTCCAATTCCAGAGGAACACTCGAAGAGCTCCTCGACACGTTAGGTTCATTATTTGGTGGTTTTACTTGCTTTTTTGACTCTGTTCTCTGGATACGTTTTGTTCCACGCAAGCTACAAAATCCGTCAGAGTCTATACGACGTGGAAATGTCGACTTGTGGTACAAAGCACGGTGAGAATTACTCATGTATTGGACAAGCGGGCAAGCTTTGCTCGCATTTTCCAATGTTCTGCACTTCACATCTCTGCTGAGTGATAATCTCTTGCTAGAATCTCCTCTCTTGGATAAAGAACTTTGAGAACAGGAAGGCATTCTCCATGTCTGGTGTGAGCAACAACTCGGCGCTCTACTCGACGCGGTGGGTTTGCCTCGGAGAACTCTACAATGCGAAGAGGAAGTAGACGAGATTGAAGAACCCGGTGGAGTACGGCAAAGGTATCGTATGTCACTTTCTGGCTTCGGTAACGTCGTCGAAGACGGCCTTGACAAGCTGGAATCGTAAACGGATCCAGAGCAGAAGCTTGCAGTGGAAGGCACTTGCTGGTGTGACTGTGTACACGATGAGAAAACCAAGCTTTTCATCTGCTCTCTTCGCGATAACAATTTTTGACGAGTACACTGCTCTTTGAGCTTTAATTTCTCAACAGTATTAGCTGGTACTTGATGGCACTGGTTGGGCTTAAAGACAAAAAAGAAAAGTACAATTTACAATTGATGGAGTCGAAGGTAATCCGGAATACCATAGAATAAAGAGGGTAAGTTTCAAAAGAAACTCTGGTGATGCGTCGGTGAGGGGCGGGGAGGGTTACAAGATAATTTGGTTTTTGGCCACCGTAAGAGCTTCTAAAGCATTTGCATTATCAACTCAATAGAAAAAACCACGCTATCTCGGATTACGCTGTATGAGTGGTCCAAAGAAAACAAGAAAACCAACCAGTTTTTATGTAACAGGTATAAAGGAGTGTGAAATAGTTGCGAGAAGTTTGTCCCTGACTTGCTAAAAAGAAAGGGTACATGTTTCCGAGAGAAATCGGAGCGCGAAGTTACACAAACCAAGACAACATGCATCGTTTTTCTTTCTGCATTAAGTTGAAATTTCTCTAGTTCAAAACAAACAAAACAAACAAACAAACAAACCTGGGACAGCTGTCTGGCTCGTTCTGTGTGTTTCAAATCAGCAAGTTTCTTTATCACTGAAGACAGCTTACTCTCCACGTCACGCTGCATGAAATACGATAATAATCACCACTTTAAAATTATTGTGAATGTGGTTTGCAGTACATTTTATCTTTAGCTTCACCAGCTTGAAACTGAACAAGAAATAGAAGCGTTTAAGAAACTGTCTCCTTAAGGGCTTTTTTCTCTTGGCTGGAATGAAGAACGCTGAGGCCTCACTTACAACAGCTGGGGTTAGGCTTAAAAATTATGTTTCATTGTGCAGCACTTTTGCTTATTGTTTGGTCAGTAACGCTCAAAAAAAAGATACGCCCGCGTGTAACTGGGGTCCATTTGTAATCTGATCTAACTGATAATCCTTTAATCCCTGGTTGTGACTAACAACTAATTTCTCCTTACAGTAGCAGTGCTGAATCACACTTTGAGGTCACGAGAGTAAAGGAAGTGATCACCAACTCTTGATTGTTACACAAATTCTCCTAGTCAGCACCTTAGGCAATGTATGGAGAACTGTAAGGAGAATATGCATATTGATGTTAGGGTGTCGAGGGTTAAGAGGAGAAGACAGAGATTCGTCAAGCTCTCATTGACTCCTTATCTCCTTCGCCGCTGTTCTTGCACCAAAAAAGGAGCGCGATGAAGATGATGGATTAGTCTGAAGAGTAGGCGTTATTTCTTTTACGTTTCAAGACGGATGCGAGCAAACGCGTAGAAAACGCGAGGGAAGGCATGAGGGAAGGAACGTATCTCGATCCTCGCGTTTGCCTCATACTTTCCTCGAGCTTGCTTCGCACTCCCCTCACGCTTGTGTACCTATGCCTGAACTCACAAAATGACACTTCTGCAGAGCAACGTTGAAGGTTGTCTTATGAACGGGTGAGTATTAATCTAAACTAAGGTCCTACGTGTTGTAACGTTTTTTTTTTTTTTTTCCAATTTCTTATTCATTAGTTCTCTAACCTTCTTTTTCTCTAATTGAAACTCCGCGATTTTCTCATTTTCTAATTCTTCCGGAGGATTGCCTTGTCTCGACATCATGACAAGACGGGCGCGCTGATCCATCAACCGAGACGTAAATGTTTTGCTTTTGTCCCTGCGATTTATCAAAAGATAAAAAAAAAAGAAAAATTTGACACTAGACAAGAGTAAGTAAACGGTAAGCATGAAAAGCGTACTTGAAAACCAAACAGCGTGTGGGTCACACGACACGTTTAAAGAATTTGGACACATGTAGGTTTGAGTTTCAAGTAATTATCTTGAAAAGGGCACGCTATTCAGTGTGTAGGAATATTTCTGACAAGTTATTCTGATGACGTTTTACTTATGGAAATGTTTCAATAAAATACAATTCCTTTTGTTCGTAAGTTCGTATGATAATGATGTAAAATGTGGAGCTTCCCTTCGAGGGAGGCATTATTGATTCAACGAACCGCAAGCAGTATTCCAGAACTCACCAAAGCGTCTCCCTCTCAAGTTCGAGCTCAGCTATCGTTACATCTTTTTCTTCAACTGGCTGATCAGTCCCGACAGACGCGTCCCTTTGGTGGAGTTTCCTTCTCTCTCGAATTTTGTGCAGGCTGGTCTGAGTACAAGGCTGACCATTTTCAGGCCCCGGCCGCTGAGGGGTTCTGTAAGGGTAGTCTGGAGAAGAATATTCCTTTCCATCGGTCGTTGGTCCCTCGTGTTCGGTGGTGAAAGAAATGCCACTTTCCTGGGTGGTAATACTTTCTCTGCAAGAAAGTATTCCTAGTCAGGTACTACAATGACATTCTTTATTAAGACATCTCTATGCAAGAGACACTTCCTCATCCCGTTGGTTCCACAGGATATCGTAAATCAAAGCTTCCTGCAACAACCAAGGTAACAAGCCCAGCAAACAAAGAGAGTCCGTAGAAATGAAAAAAAAACTGTAAAAAAAACGAAGGGACGAAGAAACGAAGAAACGAAGGAATGCAGTGCACTAAGGAAAAAAAGCAAAGACGGATTTCAGAACGGACAGAAGGACAGGAAACAACGCAATGGGCTTATGATCCTAAGCAGGTGTCACAGTCTGACCAATGGCTCCTTCCTTTAACAGAATTCAAACTACTATCTGCAACAACATCAATTGACACACAACATTCACGCAACTATTTATTTTTAGAAACAAAATCCATAATGATCGCACTTCGCCACAGTACCCCCCGGCCATTTAAAGCTGAAGATTCCTAGAAAACAAAGAGCAACATTGCACAGGGATAAAATTAGATCGCTATTCCAGAATATTGCGGTCTCAGTGGAATGTGGCAATACTTTTGTGGCTGATTGCATGCATCCCGCCTTAGTGCGCTTTCTGTCGCTGCGACTCATCACTCTTACCATAACTAGCTTATAAAATAGCCAGCTGGTTTGTGATTCACTTTCCACAGTTAATTCACTAGTCAATCATTCTGTTATTGTTTAAAAATTTGCATTAGTTCTCTCCCGCACAGTTGAGAACGAAGAGTTCAAGCAAATTGCAAATGCTTGATCTCCTCACCAATTTCACCCACAACTTTAATCAGGAGGGGATGTTCCTGAACTCAAAAGTAAAGCGTGCCGACGCGTCATACTCCGGCCTGCCGACACAAGTTACGCATTAAAGCGGGTAACTTTCTAAAGAGCGATCGACGAAGGGTTAACGATCGAAACATCAGCTTTGAAACTCTTTGCGGTGGCCAATTTACGTTATCAACTCAGTTGATAATACTAAATTACCAAGTTACGCATTAACACCAGCTCATAGAGGCAAACCCTTTCCAAATTGACTTGAATAACCACGTCATTCCGGTTCGAAGGGCAATTTGAACTGTCTGCATGCGTTGGTGAGATACATCTGGAAATTATTTCAATGCTACCATGGGGAACATTGATACAATTCTAAACTACCTCATATCCAAGATAAGCCTGATAATCTTCACCTATTCCTGACCTGAATGAAGGGCCTGATCCAGGATAAAACTAAAAGGAAATAAGCTACTCTGCCAACATTAATTTGTTTTGTCGGCAGTTTCCGACACAAGCCTTATTATAAAAAGTTATTGTCTTCAATCTCGATCATCCAAGTAAACGCTCGGTACTATACTTCAAGTTTCCAGTGTTACAGAAGAGGTATACTCCAAAGTTCTAGCAATTTTCAACTCGGTTCGAAAAATTGTCTTCGAACGTGCTAGAAATTGGACCAAATGTGATCATTATATTTAACGTGCATTGCTAGATTTTTCTGTTTTAGAGGAGGAAATTCTCGTATGCTCCAAAGTTTTGGTGCATTTTACCTCCGTTCGAAAATTCTCGCCAAAAAACGCGCCATTTTGAAATCAACCCTGTGTACCAAAGCAAATGGCGCAGTTAACACAGCTGGTGCGAGTGAAGAATGCATTTTTGTGCAGTTTCGCATTGTTCAAGCATTTACCCGAAAAACAAATAAAAAAAAAAACATTTGTGGGATTAGCATGATTAGCACAACTGAGGACAAGGTAAAGTTACCCTTTCAAATCTAAAAAAAGAGTCGGTGTCATCATTACATATATTTTTTTTACCAGCAGGAGATAAACAGGACGGTTTCTTCAGCATATTCCTCTTTAAAACGAGAAAATTAGGCGCAGACGTCGAGGAGAAAGATCAAGAAGTTGAAGATGTTTTTACAACAACATCAGACGCGTGTCGGGAAACTTCAGGCGATGAAAGAATACATGACTCAGATTACGACACATCAAGCCATGTCAGATAGCACGAGTTGTACTTTGATCACGATATCGCCGCTTCACACATTTTTAGCATCTGTTTATAGCAGACCTTAGACTGCCACTTTTAAGCGTTTTGGTGAAAGGAAACAGTTTTAATTTTATGAAAGGACGATTGTTTAGCATGTTGAATTTACAATGAATGTTACTTTGAGGGTCGCATTCAGAGAATGGTCAGCGAGGAAGCCACCCACAACATGGTATATTCACTGGAGCCGGGTTTGAGCTTTCTACTAACCGTATTACCAGCATCTCCAATGGAGGAGTAACAGTGTTAAAGGTATTTATTACTATAAAAAATGATTTCTGTGTTAGTCCGCTTAGATATTCCGGTTTTAAGAGGTTCGCATGTCCTTTGTGTGATTATTGCTCAATACTTTTAAGTAAATATATATCTAGGCCTTCGAGTTGTCCCTGCCGAAATATTAATCTAATGCAATCCTTTTTAAAGGACTCAAAAGTCTATCAGAGTTGCAAAACATAGACTGCAACAGGCGGTTTAGAATTCTTTTAGTAATACCGCCATCTAAAAAAAATATCCGCTACGATTCACGAGAGTGATAAGATTGTGTGTACCTTGGAAAGGACACGAAAATCACAAGCATTTCATTTAAATAAGTTGTTGCAATATCTAGAACGTTACATGCAACTTAAAGTAACCAAAATGTCATTTATGTAACTATCAAAGACGACTAAATCTACGAACAGGGTTTGAAATATAACCTATGTTTGAAAAAAGTTGTTCAAAATAATCAAAAGCGAATTCCCTGACGGCATTCTTTGCAACCGATTAAGGGTGTAACCACATTACTTTCTGAAATGCGGTTTTCCTTCCAAATCCCAAGGTCAATGCCGCAAATTTCTCAAATAATACAGCCTTCATGCCTAATCGAGACAAATGACTAGATTTCTTTCTTGATCCACACGGCGTTATTGCGTCTTTAAGATTACAACAAAAAGGAAAAAGAAAGAAATGGTTTATTTTCCTGACAAGCGAGAACTAGACAAAGATCACACTGAATTTCCACTTAACACGTTTTTTTAGGGTTATGCGATGCATTTCAACTGAGTGTTGTGAAACAACAACCAAAGAAACCACAATGACCAATCAGAACAAACGTAAATATTACAGCGCATTTCGTTCGAGTGACGTAAAACCAAAACCAACGTAATCACAATGTTTAATAAAAGAAAGAAAATATCACATGGAACGAGTGAGACCTTCAAAACAAGCAAACTGTCTAAAAGCGCGGGAAAACGCGAGTAACCAAGTCATGATTGCTTTAGGGTCGGTTTAGAATTTGATTGGTCGACAGGGTGACACATGTTACCTAGACCAATCACAGATTGGGATAGTGGATTACTCTCAAGAGCGCACTGAATATTTTTAACAGCCTCCTGCACGGGAAACCACAAGTCATCAAGCTGCGATTGATTGGTTGAAAAAGTGGCGCGAGTTTTCCTGACAAATTATGGAACAGTGGGGCAAAACCAATCACGACTTGCTTGCAACGCTCAATTGTAAATTGCTCTGAAGACGTAAATGGACACAAACCACAAAACAGGTACAAGAAAGAGATTGGTCCTTTAAAAAAAGTATAGGCAAAAAGAAATATGTTGATCGTTTTTCAAAGTAGCCTCTCGTCAATGAAAAACTGTAACACTTTGGAAAAAACTGTCAAGTATATTACATAAAAGATTCCGAATACGCAAACTTGTTATAACTGCAAAGAAAATAGTTCTATGCCAACAGGATTGCGCGCAAACCATCGTCACATGAACATCAACTCTCTAAAATTAACCTCAAAAGGTTTTTTCTGTTTTTTGCAAAAAAGTGAGAATCAAGGAGATCGTCATGGGCATTTGATAAGTAATTTTAGGCAGTAAAGCTGTCCTTACGTAAAATGGCCGCTGTAACAAAAGGTTACCAGAGGATTGATGGCAAGCGAAGTTATTTCCTACGCCCACATGTTCACAGATGTAACCTTTGAATAGATGTTTCAACAAAAAAGCGGTCGTTTCAACTCAGCTACAATGACTGAGCGGGACGGCCGGACGGGAAAACATTTGGCTGCGCTTGGTGTGTAGTTCACGCCCGAGAGCCAACTATTTTTCCGTTCGGCTCCATCAAACTCAGTCAATAAGCATTGTATCATATGACGACTAAGTTTTGAAACTTAGAACATTTTGGTTTTTTCTGAATAGGACGTACTTGCAGAGAAAGAAGGGCGCGCGCTAGATAGCTACTAAAACGATTCTACAGTAGAAAATTCAGAAGTGCGACTCCTTTGTTTCATTCTAAGTTCAGAAAATGCAAATAAGCCGTGAAAAAGCAGGGCCGGACGACTCAGGCCAAGGCCAACCCTCCGGACCTACACACATCAGCTTTCACTATTAATAAAAGAAGTAGTGTCTAAAGAAACTGTGGTGCTGCGTCGATGGGAGTATCACAAGGGAGTATCACAAGATCATTTGGTTTTAACTACTAGGTTGATAATGTAAATTGGCCACCGTTAAGAGTATCAAAGCTGACGTTCTTGAACGTTCGAAACGAACGAACGCTCGAAACGTCAGCTATGAAACTCTTTACGGTGACCAATTTACATTGTTAACTCAGTTGACAAAACCAAATTAGCTTTCACTGTGGTTTGGGGATGTCGCGCAAATCCTTGTTATTTACCTTACAACGATATCATCATCGAAAATCATCTTCCACTTTCATGCACTCGTGATTTTGTTCATGCAAAGCCACTCCTCTGTTCACTGAAAGTTAAGAATTGCTAAACATTTCTGGCTCCCCAGAAATGATTTGAAAACTGAAAACTTCTCTGTGGTAAACTGTTTTCTTATGGTGAGGATCCTCGAAAATTATAAAACTGAAGTATTCAATCAACTAAATGGCGACATACCTGTGTTGAGACAGATCGCCAACGGGAAAAGGCAGCTTTTCGATGAAACTGGACACCAAGTGCCCGTCATTTTCCCCTTCGCTGGTCAGTGGTGATGCAGGCTCACTGCCCGTGCGTACACCGCTATCCTTGTCATCTAAGCATTGCGTTCTCACTTCCCCAAGCACCCGACGCAAGTATCGCAATGAGGTGCGGAACTTCGTAGGTGTATCTATACCTGTTATTGACCACAAAAAAAAAACAGTAATTAAAAAGGATATTTTTTTTCCAATTACGAGCCGAAATCAATTCGGGACTTTCTTGGTTTCTTTTAGTAAGCGCTGTGATTGTTTGAAAAAATCGGCCTAACTTTCCAAACTAATCAGGCGAAGAATTAACCCTTAAACTCCCAGAAGTGATGAACGTGTAACTTCTCCCCAGCTATAAATGAACCCATTTTCCAAGTTGTTTCCTCAACAATTCGTTCTTTTATTCTAGACAGAATCTTCCTCGGCTACAAATTCTCATCACCTGCGCACTTGAGTTTCTCATTTAGAGGTAAGAAGAATTTATAGGAAGATGTTTTGAGTTCTCACCGTGTGACACCGGATCTCTTATTCTACCAGCAAGGAAAGCCTGCATCACCACTACACAATCTTCTTCGTCGTTTAGGCTGTTCTGATGCTCCAACGGTAAAAACAGCAGCTTGTTCTGCTTCTGAGTAAGACAAAGACGAAAATCATTTCATCCGGCGACAACTGCCTTAGAAGTGCACCCTACAAAGTCTATGGGGGTGAGCAGGAGCAATTTAGAAAGTTGACACACGCGACATTTGCGGCTTACATTTTCACGAAATAAATTGCCAACAAAGCCTTTCACGCAAGTTTAGTTTAAATGACGGCCTCCTGATACAAATCGTATGCTTGTGAGCAGCGTCATTTCTGCTAAATTCCCAGTATTTCTCTCTACGGAACATGAACACACTAAACCCTAACATCAATATGCATATCCTCCACACCGTTCCCTTTACAACTCCTATGCTACTGACAAGGAGAATTTGTTCCACAATTGACTGAACTTCTTTAGCTGATGATCACTTTGTTTATTCTCACAGCCCTGATGTTAAATCCAGGGGTGAAAATATAAGGAGACT